TTTTTCATTGACAGCAATAGTGAGTTGAGAGAGAGTCCCTGGTAGGCAGATGTGTATCAGGCTTGATTTAAACGTGAATCAGATACATCCAAAGCCTTATTTCTATCTCCATTTTGGTCACTAATTCTTTATAGTGCTCTGAGTTTATGGCATGTTTTTAATAGTATTGGACATTGAGAGTTCAAGTTTGCATGATTAATTGCATTGAACTTGGTTTCTACTAATCATGCCGGCTGTCGTGACACCTGGCAATGGTCAGTTACACAAGGATAATGGTGGACAGATGGCTGGACCCTGTGGCCTATGCATTCATGTGGATCAAACAATTTAGAAAAACACTTCTTTTTCCTCAGAGTCTTAGTAAGCTGCCTCTTGAGACAGGTGGATTATAATTTGTCATCCTCAGATTTTGCACTGAACGCCTGAGGTGGAGTGTGACAGCAGTTGAGAGCTAGGGGTTCCTTGGGCACGCTGTCCAGAAGAGGAAGCTGTGCTGGTGTGAGCATCACTGTATTGAAGCCAGAAATTCTGGTTTCAAACCTCAGTGCTGATGAATTCTATTTGAACAACCTTGGACAAGCCACTTACATCTTTTTGACTCTAGTTTTCTCCTCTGTTAGGTGGAGATAATTCTTCCTTTCTTAAAAATGAAATTTTGTGTTTGTTATGTGAAAGATCTTGGCATATTATAAGGAGTCAGCAGATGCGGAGCTTGATTTTTAAGGAGGCACATGCCAGGTTTTTGCCAGGGAGGTGGCTATACAGATTCTCAGGAAGAATGTGATGCTGAAAGGCTCACAGGAGAGGAGGGCCATGTCTATTTTCCTGATTGACTTAAGGACTCTCCCTGCTGAATGAAGCATCCTATTCTGTTCCATGTCTTGCTAATAATCCTGCACATGGTCCTGAAGAAGTGTGTATCATTTTTACCCATGTTGCTTTGGCAGGAACTCAGTTTCATGGCCTCTGCCTAGCTCAAGAGGGCGGGAGAGGCAGTCACTTTCCAGAAACATCCTTACATTATGGTGGGGAGGGAACATGTATCCCTGGTAATCAATAAACTGTCATTGACACAGTAAATGCAGAAGGTCCTGGTACACAGAGGAGAAGGGTCATGGGATCACAGGAATGAAGGGGAAAGGAGAAAATGTTGGTTAATCTATCACAAAATATTTTCTTGTTACAGTAAGAAAACAGAGCTGTCTGTCTCTAGCACCTGACCTCTTAGCCACTCTTGTAAATGAGTGCTTTTAAAGTCAACTCCTTGAGAGTAGTTAAAACACCACTTGTTAACCATTTGATTTCTTGTTCCTTGTAAGTAGCATTTCAGTGCATTTAGGGATATAATCTACTGGATACAGTGGGACACACCAGTAGAAAAAGGAATTATGAATCCGATAGGATTTGAAAGGTAGGTATATTTTTATTTTCATCTCTCATGTGGGAAATTGATAAAAGGAGACATTTCAGTGCCTTGGCTCAAGCTTACATGGCAGATTAATAACCTGGCAGGAAGCAGGACTCAGGATTCCAGCAATCCCAGCCACGGCTCGTGGGACCCATACACCACATGGGTAAACCTACGCTTTGCAACTCCTGCCGTTAAATGCAGTCTTTTTGTTACTCTGGCCATGTAAGGAAATAAATATCTCTGCTTTAATTCCCCTGCCCCGCAGACTCCTCCCCAAACTTCTTTTAAAGTTGGGTGCTTTAACTATAAAACGACTTTTGCGGAAAACAACTTGCCATTTAATTGTGCTGTGTGATTGGAAATTATGAGACATCATCTCCATTTAATTTCCTAGGAAAATGAGCAGTTGCTAGATCTGGAACCTGTGGCAGCAGGTGAAGGCAAGGTCTGGATTAGGCACATCCCTCCTGTTTCGCCTTCCTGGGGTCCCAGTGTTTACAATGTTCTGTATTCCCAGGCATGATATCTTTCTTCATGTCCTCCCTTCTCAGAGATGAGTTAAAATGGAATTTTCCTTAATGATGGTAGGTGAAAGCAGCTTTCACAGAATCCATTTCGATTTGAAGAGCACCTTGAGGATTACCAGGAGTTTTTAAGCTTTCTTGTATTGAATTGTATTGGATTAATAGACATTTCTGAAGCCAAGTTTCTAGAGTTCAGACTGTCAATTTTTTTTCCGCTTTTGGCTTCACTTCAATGACAATAATGGAGAGAATGATCTTTAAGTGAAACTTCTGAATGGTGTGCCTTGTTAATGAAGGGTCTCTGTGGAAATACGGTCTCCTTTAGCCATTGGAGCCTGATACTATCTCAAGTTGAGAGACTGGCTTCCTGTGAAGCATTTTCAAGGAACTGGGTGTTTCTTTTGGAGCTATTATTTATATTTTCTACTCAGGGGGTAAAAGGACAATAATGAGTTTAAGTGAACAAAATGTATTCTTAGGTTCAGCTGTCCTAGGGGCTAGTACTTAAGGATAGAAAGTAATGTTTCTTTGATAAGTGCCACTCCAGACAGGACACTAGAATATTTCTAAATGTAATTGCTTTATAGATTATTTCTTTTTTTTTTTTCACATGGAATTTCACTCTTGTTGCCCACACTGGAGTACAATGGCGATCTCAGCTCACTATAACCTTTACCTCTTGGGTTCAAGCGATTCTCCTGCCTCAGTCTCCCAAGTAGCTGGAAATACAGGTGTGCACTACCACACCCAGCTGATTTTTTGTATTTTTAGTAGAAATAGGTTTTCACTGTGTTGGCCAGACTGGTCTTGAACTCCTGACCTCAGGTGATCTGCCCTCCTTGGCCTCCCAAAGTGCTAGGATTACAGACATGAGCCACTATACCTGACCAAGATGATATGGTCTTGTTGGGCCTGATTTTGTGGTGAGAAGGGATTATGGGACCTGCTTTGAAACCTTGAAGGTCATTTGTGTGTCTCATAAGGCCAGACATCCCAAACACGGTTGTGCACTGGAATAATTTAAGGTGTTTTTTTTTTTTTTTTTTTTTTTTTAGACGGAATCTTGCTCTGTTGCCCAGGCTGGAGTGCAGTGGCATGATCTTGGCTCACTGCAACCTCTGACTTCTGGGTTCAAGCAATTCTCCTGCCTCAGCCTCCTGAGTAGCTGGGATTACAGATGCAAGCCATCACATCCAGCTAATTTTTGTGTTTTTCAGTAGAGACAGGGTTTCACCATGTTGGCCAGGCTGGTCTCAAACTCCTGACCTCAGGTGATCCACCTGCCTCAGCCTTCCAGAGTGCAGGGATTACAGGTGTGAGCCACTGCGCTCGGCCGTAAGATATATATACATATTTTTTTAAAACATAAATTATTTCGGTCCCACCCTGACATACCAGCTCTGAAATTGGGAGTGGGGGAGTCTGAGGAATTCGGGTGTATATTTAAAATGTGCCTCAAGTAGATTCTGCTGTAATCAGTTTCTCACATTTGGGAACTGTGCTGGTTGTCTTCTATTTGCTCCTGGATCATCTGCGCTCCTCTCTTTGCTCCAGCACACTGGCAACATTGAGGAGCTCTCTTCCCCTCTGGCTTCTTGGGTTTGATCAGTGGGAACCCTCAACAGGAGATCAGGGGGTGGAAAGATGGTGCAGTCATGGTACACATCTCCTGACTCCCCCCACCGTCCCCGAGGTGTCTTCATCTCTGTGGGCTGGTAAAACGGGAGAGTTCCCTGATCCCCCTCACAGGACCTGTTTGGTTGCCACCACTGCTCAAACCCCTTGCGGGAGGGAGAGCACTCAGGTGGGCAGGTGCAGAGGCTAGGGTGGGCGCTTTGGGTGCTGGTCCCATGGTAGTGTCTTGGGGTGGGTGCCTGCAACCCCAATGTTACCATATTCTCTCAGCCTTGCCATCCACAGATGGCTTTAAGTGTTAAACAGCTCAGTGGACCCTTTGCCTTTTCTCAAGGGCAGGGGGCCAGCGTGACACCTTTCCTTATCCTGAGCTCTTGCCCAGCATCCCGGAAGCATCAGGTCACACACAGGCTTGAAGAATGAATGCGAGGTTTTATTGCATGGTGGGGGTGTCTCTCGGCAGGATAGATAGGGAGCTGGAAGGAGGGGAATGGAGTGGGAATGATCTTCCCCTGGAGTGGGCTGTCCAGCAGCCAGACTCCTCTCTGATCACCGTGGCTGAACTCCTCCAGAGTTCAGGTGTTCCCCTCCCCTCTCTTTCTCTGCCAAGTCGTTCTGCTGTTCGTCTGCTTGTCTCATCTCCTCCTCTGCTGGTCTGAGCTGGAGCCTGGGGTTCAGGGTTTATATGGGCACAGGATAGGGGGCGTGGCAGACCAAAAGGCCACTTTTTGGGTGTGAAAACAGGAATGCCTGTTCTCATTTAGGGCCACAGGTGTCCAGGCTGGAGGGGCGTCTTCGCTGAGGAAGCGTCTTCCTCCAGCATTTCCCTGTCTCCGGTCCATATCACTGGCAGTGGCCTTTTACCTGAAGGCACTGCTTCTCTCAAGGTGGCACTGTCTCTTTCCCTCTCTTCTTCCACATTCTGATAACCACTCCCTTTTCTCTGCTTTTTGGGCATGGGTAGGAGCACGGGTCCATCAGCAGCCCAAAGGGGCTCACCGGTCAGCCTTCTGGGGCAGGCAAGGGCAGGGAGCAGCTCTGGAGGGGCAAGCAGGAGATCTGGCCCAGATTCATAAAAAAGCTACTTTCATTCATTTTTGAAACTTGTTCAAAATCTACAGCTAAGGTAGTAGCTGAACCAGGCCGAATGAGTCTCCTACCTAATCTCTCAGAAGCTGGAGTCTGTTTCTTGTCTTGCTAGGGCCACTGAGACTGGGGCTGTGGGGGGGGGAAGTGTCCCTCCTCTCAGGCCTGAGAAAATGACAGGACCATGAGGAAATCTGATTTTCCTGCAGGTGTGAGAGTGGGAGAGGAAAGCATGAAGCCATCTCCCTTTCTCAGAGTGGGTTCTGGATACTTCCTTTATCCTTAAGGAAACTCTTCCACATGAACTGAGTCTTTCCTTCTTGAAAAAAACCATGTCTCATCCTCCTTCTGTCTGACTTTTGCAGGCTCTGCACTGGTTTGTTGGCCGTTCCCCCTGATTCCATAGAGGCCTTAGTAACAAGCAGCCTTCCCTGTGCAGTGCATGGTTAGTAGCAGATCTGGGGCCATGCTGTGCAGCGTTACTCCCGGGGTCCAATCAACTCATGCCACCTTTCAGGGAAGACTCCCCCAGACACATGTGACTGGTGTTGAGTTAATTTGGAGCGCGTGCTGGCTAATGCATTTCAAATGATTTAGTCCTGGTTGCTTCACTGAACATGTTCTCCAGTTTGGGTTTCTGTGAATAAAAAGAGAAAGGGGTGTCTTAGACATGTAGCCCTATATTTAGGGACCTGCCTATGTTGATTAGCAGCCAAGGAATTGGCGCCAGCAAATTTAGGAGAGTCATTCACATTCTTGCCACCTCCTCAAATCTCAGTTTTACTGAGAAATAAACGTCTTTTACCTTATATTGACTTAGTGTTTCTGAAGAGGGAACATTGCCTTTTTTGCTGCTGAGTAAAACTCAAAAGTTTTCAGTTTCAGATAGAGTATTAAATAAAAAATAAAACAATTTCTAAATCATTTTCTCTCTCTCTCTTTTTTTTTTACATTTGGCATGAAATTTTCCTAAGGAAAGAAGTTCAGGTTCCTAATCCACTTTGAGTAGCCAGTTTTACTAAGAAGACCACAAAGGTAAAAATAAACTATTTTTCAGTTAGCCTACAAAAACAACTTAATAGCAATTACCCCAGGAAAGAAAATTAGCACAGTTTTCATTTTTACATGGTCTATAGGTAAGCCTTTAAAGTTTAACAAGAGACACTTGCTTTTTAATGTTTTCTGTTTTAGTGCAGGAATTGAACTTCATCTTTCATTCTTCTGTGTCACTGGGGTGCGTGACAGTCGGGGTGTTAATGGGAATCCTCTTTGCTCAGGAGCCAGGGCCAGTCCTCATTCTGGCACGGTAGCAGCTTTATTTGTCACCTTCTTTGACAGTAAAAAGGACTAGATGGAGGGTGAGCACTGAATCAGAGCTCCAAAGGATGCCGAAGGTGATTCACCGAGATGTGGAAAAAAGCATTGCACCATTTCTACAAAAAGTGCAAAAATCAGGCAGGTGCGGTGGCGCACACCTGTGGTCCCAGCTACTTGGGAGGATGAGGCGAGAGGACCATTTGAGCCTGGGATGCTGACGCCACAGTGAGCTGAGATCATGCCACTGCACCCCAGCCTGGGTGACAGAGTAGGACCCTGTCTCAAAAAAAAAAAAAAGAAAATATTATAATTTCTATTTATATTTATCTTTTCTAAAAAGTTAGAAAGACATTAAGCTCTACAGTCTACTAATACATAATGCATGGACAGGCACTCGCCCCTTCACGCAGACTAAATAGTGGTTACATTTCTTGACAGGGAAGGGGAGTGTCCTGAGAAAAACCAAATTCCTCAAGAGGTGGAGGGTGGCACCTTTCCCTTGTCACACTTTGCAATCATGGATGGCAGTTTACATGTGTCAGGCAAAGTGGATTTATGGCTGATGTTGTCTAGTCTTAATGCAACCAGTCATTGCAAAATGGGCACATGGTTTAAGACGATGTCGGCAAAGAGAGGGCGGGTTGAATTGTAATGATAAGGCAAACACGGCTATACAAGAGAAAAGGCGACAGCGACAGTTTTGCTTTCAGAACTATCTCCTTTTCAGTGAAGTTACTCAGTAGATGTATAAATACAAGTTTACAGCCACAGTCACTAATGAAGCCCTTCACCTAACTCTCTTACATCTTGAGATCTTGTCTAAAAAGAGTGGAATCCATTATGCTCTGAAAAAGACAGTAAAAATGTCTGCAATCTTTTTTTAACTGACTTAAAATCATGTACTATTCAATGCAGTATCTCTCAAAATGTAAATTAGTGTAATGGAAAGTGCTTAAATGCCTCTTTTGAGGTTTATTAGTAGTGAGAAAAAAAAAAGGTGCATATGACCACGGGAAATGCTTATTCTTCCTACTGCAATAAATACAGCTGAAATAATACACGAAAAAAACTATAGTGATGAGGCTTTTAATATACTGACAAGTCCTAAATTTGTATTCCATTCCAAACGCCTCCCCTGTAATGCCTGACTCTTGAAAGCCACTGGTTTCCCGACATCTTCCCGGGATCTCTAGTCTTCTGCAGCTTCACGCGTCCAAAGTGAGTTCTTGAACGCTGCTGCTCGTCTCTCCCTCAGCCTTCTCCTCCTCCACATGTGGCTGCTGCCTTCCTCAGGTGTTTATGTTAAAAAGCATGTGTGTCCTATCTTCTTTCTCTCTCATCCTATATCCAAAGCTGTCAGCTAATCTCATGGGTTCTATGTCAAAATATGTCCAAATCTTTTACTGTCTGACTCTCTCATCAACAGCATTTCAGTCCCTCTCTCATCTGCACAACTGAAATTGGTCCCTTGTTCCTGTCCTGCCGTGTTGCAGTCTCTTCTCCACAGTAGGCTGGAGAGATCTTCTTAAATCTAAATCTTCTTAAACCTAAATTAGCCCCCTACACTGGCTTCCTATCTTGCTCAGAATGAAATCCATCATCCTCACCCTAGCCCTCAGGCCCTGCGTGACCTCTCCCAGGCTGCCTTCTGTCCTCTGGTCCTTCCACTTCCCAATCTGTCTCTGCTTCCAGCCACACTGGCCTCCCGTGGGTCAGTCCCACCCAGCAAACTCCTGCCTAGGGGTCCTCCTTGCACTGCTGCACCTTCTGCCAGATACAGATAATTTACAGTTTACCCCTCCACACATTCAGGCCTTTGCTCAGACCTCACCTCCTCAGAGAGATCTTCCTCATCATCTAAAATGGCTCATGCTCTCACTCCCTGTCCCAAGAACCTGTTGAATGTTCCTTTGGAGCACTTACCCTGATATACGTTAGATTTTTAAAAAATTTGCTCGTTGTGGTCGCTCATAGGAACATAGGTCCACGAAAACCGAATTTTCTTCATTACTTCCTCAGCACCTGTAACAGTGGCTAGCTCACACCACGGTCAAAATATCCTTTTTGAAGGATTGAATAAGAATATTCATCTTTAGCTAGCAAATATTGCTGATAGATGCGGAGAAAACTTTAAAGAAACAAGTATGGAAACAAATCAAGTAGTGCTTGCTTTACAGCTGGGTGAAGCACAATCTTAGATAATAAAACATAACTAGTGCTGTTATTTGGTGAAGCAATTATAGAAAATATGCCAGGAAAGATGTGTTCTCAATTGTAAATAACTTCTCCACAAGAAACAGTGTTCTTATGGAACAATTGTTTAAAATGACATTTGATGGAGTGGTAGCTTTCACGGGAATTAAAAGAGGATGCTGGATAGCAGTATGAAGGTAATATCACTTGGGAAATTGATTGGCTGGGTAGTAACTCACAGGCAAACTAGTGTTGCAGAGCAGTTGAAGTCAGAAGGGCAGAATGAGCTATAGGAGATCACAGATGCTATTAATCTGATTGTAAAAAGTGAGAGAGCTGGCTGGATGTGATGGCTCATGCCTGTAATCCCAGCACTTTGGGAAGCTGGGTCAGAGGATTGCTTGAGCCCAGCCGTTCGAGACCAGCCTGGGCAACACAGCAAGATCTCATCTCTACTTAAATTTAAAAAAATTTAACTGGATGTGGTGGTGCATACCTGTAGTCCCAGCAACCTGGGGGGGGCTAAGGCAGGAGGATCACTTGAGTCCAGTAAGTCGGGGCTGCAGTGAACCATGATTGTGCCATTGCACTCCAGCTTGGGTGACAGAGTGAGACTCTGTCTCAAAAAACAAAACAACAAAAACCAGCGAGAGGGCTGCATAAAATGAGAGGATCTTTGAAATACTTTGCGCCAAGATAGAGAATGATCGTGAAGATTTTGTTTGCAGTTATCTGTTTTTACAAAAAGACAAGTGTTTTAAATTTGCTGGCCTTTTCTTGTGGCGCCAAGTGGCCATTAACGGTCTCTTATCTAGGAGACACTTTGAAGAGAAAAACAAGGCACAATTACTTTTCTTCCTTCCTAGTAAAAATGGTGTTTTCATGATGAGGGAGGGAGTTAGGTTTTTTTTGAAAGAAAGTTATTTAATAACAAGATTGTTTTGAGAATGGATGCTTAGAAATATTTCTATCATTCTGTGCATTTATTGCCCAAATGATATAAGAAGGTAACCTGGGAAAACTTTCACATCTTTATAGTGAAGAAAGTTGGAAAGATAAACTTGTAATCTGTTTTAAAATCTAAAAGAACAGTTTCACTGGGTTTTGAACCATTTGTCAAAAATCTTCTGATGCGTATTTTAAAAATAGAGATACAATTTGCATATCATAAAATTTCCCCCTTTTTGACACATGCACACACGTGTTTATAGCAGTACAATTTGCAACTGCAAAAGTAGGAGACAACCTAAGTGCATATCAGCTGCATGGCTGAAGAAAATGTGGCATAGATACACCACGGAACACTGCTCAGCCACACAAAGGAAAGAAAAATGTCTTCTGTAGCAACTTGGATGAAGCTGGAGGCCATTATTCTGCCATTATTCCAAGTGAAGCATCTCAGGAATGGAAAACCAAATATCGTATGTTCTCACTTGTAAGTGAGGATGCAAAGGCAGAAGAATGATATAACGGACTTTGGAAACTCACAGGGGAAGGCTGGGAGGAGACTGAGAGATAAAAGACTGTAAATTGGGTTTGCTACTCAGGTGATAGGTGCACCAAAATCAAAGAAATCCCCACTGAAGAACTTATCCATGTAAGCAAATACCACATGTACCCCAAAAGCTATTGAAATAAACATAACAATTAAAAATATCCCCCCTTTTAAAGTGTACAGCTTAGGGGTTTTTAGTCTATTCACAAATTTGTGCAGCCAGCACCACTGCCTAATTCCAGAATGTTTTCATCATCTCAGTCAGCGATATTGAAGAATAACCAATTGACAAGAGGAAAGATAGAAATTTAGTGTGAAAATTGTAGCAAAAAACTTTGCATTGTTTATGGATGAGGCTGTATATTGAGTATTGTGACTTAGAAATTGCAGTCAATAATGTACTTTTCCACTTGAATTGACAGATCTTTGTGAGGTAACTTTTTCAGTGATGACAGCCATTAAATCCAAAAATCCAAGTTAACTGAACTTAGAAGCTGACTTTCGGTTCACTGGGCTAAATTAAGATTTTAAGACATCACCACAGTTAATTACACTGTGCTCATTACAAATATTACTATTGATAATTTTTGTGAAAGCATAAGATTTTTTGTATTATTAATGAATAACATTCTAAAACTAATATTTCATTTTTTTATCCTGCTAAAATTTTATTTTTGAGCATGCTTTATAATGTGCATACTATAATAACATTAACAGGAAAAGCATCAAAATTTTAAATTAAGAAATATACCTGTAGGAATCTGTGCTCAATATGTTTTTTTCACAAAAGCATTTTTATTTGAAGCAAAGAGAAGTCTTGCTGAAAGGATTATAGTTCCAAGCATCAAAACTCAACTATTAGTGACACAATTCTGACTTTGCTCATTTTGCTTTTCCTTGGTCAGAAAAGGGTATTCAAGTTGCACTTTCCCCAGCTGGACAAAAAGAAGGGCAAAGAAAACTGGAAGAGACTTCTGCTCCATGGGGACTGCTCTCTAAACCCTACAGCAAGCTAGGCAAGCCCTCACTGGCCAGCCTTTAGGTTGCTGTTCCACCTCTGAGTGACACAGGCCATATACATTTGCAAGAAAAAATGAGGTGGGAACAACAGGTGTAGATCACTCGTGGACAAACAGGCATCCACGGCCTCAAAACTTCATGGAAGAGGTAATCCTTGTGGGAGGCTCAGCTCACCAAGGCACAGACCCCCCAGTTCTTGCTGTAGCTGAGTAAGGTGGTCATCTCCTGGCTGCCCAGCTCAAAGTTGAAGACCTTGAAGTTCTCAGCAATGTGTTTTGGTGTCACAGACTTGGGGATTACAACCAAGTTCTTCTGCAAAGGGAACTGGATCAGAACCTGGGCTGTAGTTTTGTTGTGCTTGGCTGTGATCGCCTTGATCCTGGGATCCTCCAGGAGGGAAGGGTCTTTGGGCTTCGCCCAGGACCTGTCGGGAGAGCCACAGGCTGCAGGGCAGCTATAGGCAGTCACCATGATACCTTCGGACTGGCGGTGATGGATTCACTTCTCCTGAGTTAGGTATGAGTGACACTCAATCTGGTTAGCTGCCCAGTTTATACTTCGAGCAAGGCTTGTTTAAGATCCTCTCGACTTGGAGATAGTTGAAGTTGGAGATGCCAATAGCTTTCACCAGCTTTTCCATGGCTGCCCATGTGTCCACATGTCAGTGTCACTGGGAACCACGTTGCCTGATTCATCCAGTGGAAAAAATTCCTTCCCAGGCTTAAAGTCAGTTGGCCAGTGAATAAGATACAGGGCCATGTATTCCAGCTTTAGGTCACTAAACAGCTGGGAGGCTCCTTTCATCAGCCCCTTCTCTTGGTATGTGCACCACAGCTTGTGATGATGAGGAAGTCCTCACACTTCACCACCTGCTCCCCGAGCTTCTCCTGGGCCACTCACACCTCATGCTCGTTCTGGTACATGTAGGTGCAGTCAGTGTGGTGGTACCTGATGTCGATCACACCTGCACAGCCTCTGTGACCTGGCCTGGAGGGGACTTCCAGGTGCCCAGCCTCAGGATGGGCATCTTGGCAGTGTTGTTGAGCACAAGGTGGCTGGCCATGGCTACCGAGCTTCCCAGAACCCTGCATCCCCTGTGCCCAAAATGTTTTATTGGTGACATGTACTATGAAAATATTTTATAGCCCACTGATGTAGATTACCTTTGCTCATCTGTAATTCCTTGATGCCGTGTTTGAAATACTCCAGGTCAATCCATTGCAGAGAGGGTCTGAAGCATAGTCAGTGTCCAGCTTTTACCCAGAGAGCTCAGGGCATTTTTTAGCTGGCAGAAGCTCTGATATAAATGGCAATGCAGATTGAGATGCATCTAAACTTTATTACATGCATAAGCCCATGCCAGCCATAATGCAAAGTACTCTCACTCAACTTATTTCATGATTACCACAAACTGCTGTGGGGAATGTGAACTCGCTTTACAGATGAGGAGTCTCCGAGTCTGAGGGGTGAAGTGATTTGCCTAGGACTGCATAGATAGTATGAATGATTCAAATCTGACTTCTGATTCCCCCTGCCCTTCCATACAATAAGCAATATTAAGGGTGCAGAATGGAGGCTCATATCCTAGCTCTGGCACTTAATGAGTGATCTTAGGCAAGTTACTTAACTTGGTGTCTCAGCTTCTGTCTGTAAAATACGGCTAAAAGTAATAGTACTCTCTTACAGGATTGTGAGGAGTTTACATAATGCATCAGGAGCTTATTCTAACGCCTGACACACAGTAAGCACTCGATAAATACTGGCTATTGTTATCATGATACCTGTCTCCCCAACTTTTGCTGTCTAATTAGGTTTGAGAGCAAGGGATGGTATCTGATTTCTTTTCCTCTCCTCTTCTCTGCTACTTTCTTTGCCTCCCTTTCCTTCTTTATCTCCACCCTCAAGCATAGTGCCTTGCTCGGAGACAATGCTCAGGTGCTTATTAATAATGATACAGTTCAGGCCAGGCGTGGTGGCTCATGCCTGTAATCCTAGCACTTTGGGAGGCTGAGGTGGATAGATTGCCTGAACTCAGGAGTTCATAGACCAGCCTGGGCAACATGGCGAAACCCCGTCCTACTAAAACACCAAAAAATTAGTTGGACATGGTGGCACGTGCCTGTGGTCCTAGCTACTTAGGAGGCTGAGGCATGAGAATTTCTTGAACCCAGGAGGTGGAGGTTGCAGTGAGGTGAGATCATGCTGCTACACTCCAGCTTGGGTGACATGACAAGACTCCATCTCAAAAAATAAAAAAGTAATAATGATAGAGTTTGCCTAAGCTTTTCAGTCTATCAATATTTATTGACTACCTTGTGAGTGAACCTTGCCTGCCACAGCTCTAAAGTCCTTCATCTCCTGTGTTATTTAATTTAGTCCTCACCACAACCTTAAATTGGAAAAACTATCATGCCCATTTAATCACCAAGAAACTGAGGCTTAGCAGAGGTCACACAGCTAGCTGGGGTTGGCAATAGGATTCTAGCACAGGTGGCTTGACTTAGATTCTGTGTCTTTTCAACTACCTGTGCAATGGAGTCCAGGTGCAGAGTGAGCGCTCCTTCGACGTGGTTACCTGGAAAGTTTGTCCTTCCTTAGCGTAATCCAATTCCAGTCTTAGAACCATTTTTCAAAGTCCTGACCACACTATAACTCATCAAGGAAACTGAGCAAATGGGACCGTTGTTAGTTCTTGAAGAAATATTTTAATCAATTTATTTGGCACTATTCAGAGATATATACTATTTGTTAAGTATTTCATATCATTAGGGAGCAACTAATTGACAATTAATTTACAGGATTACACACTTAACTAATCTGGTAATTTTTAATTTTGGTGAAATTGAAATGTACAGATGTGCATAAATCATGATTAGAGTTGTCCTAATCAACAAAGCCTTCAAATTTGCTGCTATTGGTCGAAATGTAGTGGAGACCCACCTGCCTCTCAATTTGGAAGTGTCCAATTCACTTCCATGGCTCCTGCCCTGCTGAAGACACAAGGCCAGTTTTCATCTCAGGAGGCGGGAGTGTGGAGGGGGTAGTGGAGGCGGGGCAGAGACCTCCCCAGTCACTTCTTTTACCGCCCCCCCTTTTTTTTTTTTTTTCCAAATAAAAGACCATT